TTAGGGGTTTTCCACGTAAATTTGGTGTCTCTTTTATCTTCATTTTTATTTTCTCAAATTATCAGTTGCGATTTTGCTCTATCCGATAACCGTCTTCCGCAACAGGCTGCTGGTGAAGTATGTTGTAGCACTTCTATTCGCTGGTTTTGTTGGGTTGGGTTGGCTGATTCTGTTTTTGTAAGGGTTGCTTTGCCTTGGTCTTTGTTGTTGTTTTTTTCTTTTTCGAGTGTGGGAACTCTTTTCTTCCATGTAGCTTTAGGGTGGTTTTTAACGAGGTTCGCATTTGAAATTTAATTCTTATTTTAATGGATATTTTTCCTTGCTAAAAAAATCACCTCAAACTATTAAAAAATATTTTAATTTAGTTAAGAGGATGAATGATAATTTAGATCTTATATGAAATATATTTTAAACACATGAATCAAATTGTAAACATGTATACTTAACACATGGACAACTTGGATTTAACGTGTTAAAAATAAATAATCCTCATAAAATTTAGTGTCATTGATTTTTTAACAAGTAAAATTCAACTTAATCATACAATAGGTACACACATTTAAATTTCAAGCTTTAGGTGATGGTAAAATGTAAATCAAGCTTTGAATTTGTTAAAAACACAAGAAAAATAATAGTGGGGGCATAGAATTTCCATGCATCTACAAGTGACTTGAAAATCTCACTTTGGGAATGTGATGTGTATATAAGCAGGCTTAAACAATCCCATTTCCTTCGCCAACCTCCTTTTCTAATCTCTCTTATGTTCCTTTTAAATGTATTAAGTTCCCTAGATCTTGACTTATCCCATAATCTTCTTCTTCTTCCTCCCCTTTTCTTGGCACTTCTTGAACATTCTCTTTCCCCCAAACTTTTTCAAAAATGTTGAAGCTTTTATTTTTCTTTCAATTCCTTAACCTTTTTTTCCTTGAGATAAGCTGATTTGTGCTTAGGGTTTCTCTTGGTTTGTGTTTCCTACTTATTTTTTCTGCAAATTTCAGATTCATCAGTCATTTTTTACTGATGCAGCATCCTCAAGATTCACATGCAAAACATATAGTAAGGCCATGCCCTTTTTTATTATGAAACATGAGAATCTTGATGATGCTGCATCGGCCATTAATGACTTCACACAGGCCAAAACCTTGTGAAATCTTCATAGATCTTTAGATTTTCACAGCTTTTCTGGCATCCATAAAAGGTATAAAAAAAACCCTTCTCTTTATATACACACATATATATATGTGGAAATATATGTACCTGGAAAAGCTGAATTAATATTCGAGTGTTGTTCCTTTTTGCAGTGATGTGAGATGTTTGCAATTATATCAAACATATGCAAACATATGGGGATTGTTTCAATTTGAAGAAGTTAAGGTCAGATGAAATTTTTAGAGATTTTTAAAGTATTATTTTTCCATGTCCGTACAACACCGGTTCCTTTTTCTAGTTGTGTGCTTACCCCTTGTTAGGGTTTTCTTTATCGGTTCGCAATTTCTTGAGATTTTCAGGATAAATTCTGAGATCTGCTCCTGGCTTCTTTTATACAGGTGTTTCAGATTAAGGGGTTGTCATGGAACCAGTTCCTCTCCTGCAGGCTAGGCTTTCTTCTAATCATTTAAGGGATCCTTTCCTGCAGGTTAGGCTTTCTTCTAATCATTTAAGGGATCCTTTCCTGCAGGTTAGGCTTTCTTCTAATCATTTAAAGGATCTGCAATAAAAATTATTTGTTCTCTGTATATGTTCAAAATTATTCTTAATCTATTAACAACGTATACACATTCTATAGACACAGGTACTCGAATTCGAATCTTCTACAGATAACTTAGGACATGAAAAAAGAGATTAATAAAATAACATAGTACTCCATGTTTCTGAATCTATCCCACATGCAAAAAAACAAGAAGAAAAAAAAACAAATTACTCATACGGCATTAGCTGTAAGTCAGCATATCTGCATTTGCATTATCTTTCAATATAGCACATGATTAAACTTGGAGACACATCATGGGGAATTTTGATGGACATTTTTGTTGTTTGGTATCTGAAAAAGTTTAACTTGAAAATTTTCCTTTTCATTTTTCTTGCCATGGATTTTGATCGAAGAATCTTAAAGCTCCAGGATGAAAAGTGGGGGAGGCATTTAGTGACAAAAGCTATAATGTCGGTTTTGACGAAATGGAAAAAGGAAGTGTGATTTGAATCATTCCTTTCTTCAAGGAGCTCCACTCAATCTGGGGAAAAAACAACCCCAGACTGTACGATGATATCATAGCGGATCAACCTTAATCTTAACAGTCTCTATCAACTTTTGTTTTTATCCTTCATATCTATTTCACAATTTATGTTCGAGGTTCATGTTTGCTCTCTTAATCATATCTTTTTAAGATTCCAACTTAAATTCTTTTCTTAATACTATAATCTATCTTATAATTACACTCAATATTTTTTATAGGTTTTTTGAACTTTATATCCATACAATTGATTCTTTTCCGAAAGACAAATAGTTTAATTGCAGAACTTTGGGGTGGTGGTGGCAAGGACTGCAACTGACAAAAGATCTTAATATCACAAGCCTAATCGTGGAGTTAGACGCAAAATGGATGGTCGATGCGTTAAATGACGAAGTAGCTGACGAACATTCAACACATACATTAGTTAAAGATTGTGAGGACCTAATGCAAGGAGAGTGAGTGAAGGAAGTTCGACACATCTTCCAAGAAGGTAGAAAATGCACGGATCACCTCGCAAACCTAACATATGATCAGTCTGAAACATTAAGAATCTTAGAGGAACCTCCAAATAGTTTAATTCATTTACTTAGCAGTGATGCTAAGGGGAAACCAGTGTTAAGAACTTAGTTAAAATTTGATTTCAGTCTCATCTTTTTAACCAAAAAATATATATATAAATGATCATTTCGTAAATTATTATGATATATAATACATTAAAATTATTATATATAAATAAATAAATAAATATATATATATATATATATATATATATATACCATAGTCCGAATACTAAATATGATGTTATTTGAAATTAAAACGAAAATGTTTGGTGCAGCTTGAATTGCATCTGTCACTATTCATTGAATTTATTAGGCAGGCAGCTTAATTTCTACATGTCCTGGATCCCTTCCAGGCTTATGCTATTCACACATCAAATTTAATAAATACAGTGAATCAGCCAAATTCATGGTCCCCTTCTCATACATTACAATGGCTTTGATCGGAAATGGATTGAGATCAAATATCAAGAGAAGTTGAAGGATATTCAACATGTTTAAAGTTCAAAATCAATATATATATATTTACGACTTCTTTTTTTCATTCGATTATATAATGCATTTTCGAGTTTTGGAATAACATGTAGGGCTGCAATGGTCCCCCATGGCTAGATATCCTGGTAAAGTTAGGGTTTCATCAAAACCCTAAATCTTTAGAGGATGGCAGATCATATGGGAATGTTCTATTTTAACTAAAATGAAAATTTCGTCGGTTAGAGTTTGTCATCTCAATGAGATTGTTAGCGAGAGTAGCAAGAGTTAGAAATTACGGAAGAAAGGTTTTATGTTACGGAGTTTAAAATTATAAAGTTATATTAAAAATTTAGGGGAGTATAATTAATAGAAAATATAAAAAAATACGGATTTAATATTTTTAAGGGTTTGATCATACCTCCTAACACCGCCTCGATCCATCCATAGAAACTATCCTACATTCTGATTGAAAAGATTTCATTGAAATTCTATTATATATAATTCTATTGGTTAGAGAATATTGGATAACAAAATTTATTTAATGTGATGAATTTTAATTAATAAATAGAAAATCTCAGTGAATAAAATTACTTGGTTATCAAGTAATAGATTCTATGAGTAGAGACTAGGTTTTAACCTTCATAATTAAGAAATTGATAAGAGAAACAATCAGTGGGAGATTTTTTATACGAGGATGATTTGTATATTTATCCGTACAAAAGTTATAAGTTTAATTGAATGATATATTATCATCTTTAAATCATTTATGTATGTTAGAGGTCTCAAATCGTGTTTGTGAGTATAGTAGTTTTTTTTTTTATCTCGATCTTTTGAGATTGATGAATAATGACGTTTTATAAGTGTTACGGGTTGCGAAACTCTTAATTTTGGTGTATTAAAAGGTATTTCTAGGGTTACGAAGATCCTTAATATGTTTTAGCATTAAAATCCATCAAAAACGAGATTTATAACTATGCAAATCAAGTTACCTCAGTGATTAAATTGATAATTGTTGTTCATAGAGGTCTTACATTTAAGCATCGGAAATTGTACGGGTGTTTGAGTTTTTATTATCAAATGATTGAGAATCTTTATAACAAATACTACATTGTAATCACATCATATTATACACATTAGTATTTACATGATAATTAACCATTTTTTATAACTCTTTTATTAATAAGAGATATAATTAATATATCTTGACAGTCTGAGAAAGAAATTAGAATATTCAAAAGTTTGAGGATTAATTTAAGATGATGTACATAGTTTATAGATAAAATTTGAATATCTAAAAGTTTATAGATTAATTTAGGATGAAAGTTACAATTTGAGGATTAAATTGAAATATTAAAAAACACGTTGAATTAATTATTGAGTAAACTACATATTTAGCACCTAAACTATCACCTTTGTTTCGTTTTGGTCACTCAATTATTTTTTTCAAAATCATACTTAATATTTAGTTTTAGTTTCATTTTGGTCACATGTTGTCAAAAAATTGATGTAGCATAATAAGATAATTTCATGTCATCTTTGAAAAATAAAAAAATACTACATCGACAGTTCTTTTGTTAATTGTTTAACGATGGATGATCAAAATGAAACCAAAATGTAATGTTAAGTATGATTTTGAATGAAAAAATAACCAAGTAACCAAACGGAACAAAACTGATTGTGTGGGTGCTAAATTTGTAGTTTACCCTTAATTCTTTACGAAATTAATGTTTTCTTCCCGAAAACTTCCATGTCTCAGCTCTGTTATCCTCAAACAACAAATCTCCAAAAATGAAGTTAAAAAAATTCCTCTCAATTCCAGTATTTTCCGCGATTTTCTTGATGGGTTTCGTTTATTATATCACAGTTTTCATTTTCATCGAAGATTGGGTTGGTTTGCAGACCTCAGCTGGGTCTTTACACAGCATAATCTTCTCTTCCATTGCTTCCCTTTGTCTCTTGTCTTTCCTCGTTGGTGTTCTTACTGACCCAGGCCGTGTTCCCTCCTCTTATATCCCTGATGTTGAAGATACTTCTTTTGCCTCAGATCAAGACCCAAAGAAAAACGTAAAAATTTTTTTAATTACGTATTGAATCAATAGTTTTTCAGAGGAAGTTTTGAATTTCTGGCCTAGTTATGATCTGATGTTATTTGGGTTTTCCTTATTGAATAAGAAGATTGGGGAAATTGGAATGAAAATTCTGGGTCTTAATGGTAGATTCTGTGGGTTTATTTTTTTTTAATTGTGGAAAATAAGGGGTTTTTTTTATTGGATCTGTATTCGGTACTTAACTGTTTAATAGAATTTCCTGAGGTTTTATGGAAGTTAATAAGAGAAGGTTATGTTTTGTGTAGTAATTGAATTTGTTGCATAGTACTAAATTCTGAATGTTGCAGAGGTTACAGTGTGATTTATGTTTTTGTAATAACTATGTTTTTATATTGTGGATGCGGTTGTAATATTGCTGTCAGCTTAAAAAATGTTATGATCAGGCCGATACAAGTACACTGCTTCGTGGCTGCAATTTTTAGTACTATGGTTTATAATGGATCATTTTGTTGATGCACAGATTGTTGTAGCCATTACTAGGTATTGTCCACATTAGATGTCTATATATTGTTTCTGATAGAACGGGAGGCTTGGTATCGGAAGGGCGACTCTCGCTTTATATCGATGGAGGATCGTGTTCCGCATTAACAAACCTCATTATGTAATCCGACTTCAATGATGGATGAATTATGTTTTAGAATCAATATACTATGATGTGTTCTCCGTTTTTGAGGCCTAACAGAACCTCCATTGGGAAAAGTGAATCTAGCTTTGTATCGATAGAGGATTGTTTTTCACCTTAACAAACAACTTCATTATGTCATCTGACTTCTGTAATGGATGATTTAGGTTCTACGATCAAAGAATTGTGACAAATGTGCTGTATATAAGCCCCCGAGGACTCATCATTGTCGGGTTTGCAAAAGATGCATACTAAGGATGGTAGGAAATATTATCTTTAAGCATTTTCTATTTAAGTAAATAGTTTTTCTTTATGTCCGTGAAGTTTTCCGTAACGGTTTCTATTGCTAAACCTAATGCAGGATCACCATTGCCTGTGGATAAATAATTGTGTTGGTTATTGGAACTATAAAGCTTTCTTCAATCTTATACTTTATGCGACCATTGGTAGCATCCATGCCACGGTATGTATCATTTTCTCCTTGTCTTGTTTTTTGAAACTTTTTGATGTTGTCCCGAGTTATAATATGAAACACGTCATGCATAGGCAATTGTAATAAACTGTGCACGTCAGAAGGACTGGAATACCAGTGGAACTACTGCCCTCAAGTTTTTTTATGTAAGTTGTAGTTAAGTATGCGCATCTGCAATTTATTGGTTTTACCGTTAATATCGTTTTTCAAGTGCATAAGTTAAGCTCGATTTCTAGCCACTTTCTTCTGTTTCTGAATACTCCGGTAAGGCACGTGAGGAGAATCATGTGTTCTGTAAGCTGTTTACTAGCAGAAATATCATGTATTATGTGTGGCGCTGCTGAGTATGAAGTAAATCTATGTTATCTGGTTTTGGGAGTGAGTACCGGATACGAGTCTGGGTTTGGCATGGTTATGTTCAATTCTTTTATAATTTTTCGATATTTAGAGACATACTTTTATCTGACACACACTCGACTCCTAGTAACGTAGCTATTATGTCACTCACACCACTCCTGCCCCGGGTGTTCTCGTCTTCTTGCTCTTCAATCCATTTTGTACGAGAGTTTATAAGCTATTTAATAAATTCTCGTAATGTGTTGTAGCTTGCTTGTGGAGCAATGATGCTTGTGCTATCGGTAACACTCGGGACTCTCTTAGGCTGGCATGTCTACCTTATAACTCACAATATGACAACCATAGAGGTATGCCATTTGACCGATGTTTTGCAGTTGGTTCCACGGATTGAATTCAATCCTGCATAATTGTCTAAACCGCCTTCAAATCATATCCTTTTGCTAGTATTATGAAGGAATACGAGCTGCATGGTTGGCGAAGAAATCCGGGCTGAGCCATCGTCATCCATTCGATCTCAGTGTTTACAAAAACATCGCCTTGGTACTTCTCCCTCTCTTGATCCCTTTCTTTCTTTTCCGATTGCCCGTCTTTCCTTACTCATCCTTTTAATCAGGTATTAGGTCCCAACACGCTGAAATGGTTTTGTCCAACATCAACGAGCCATCTAAAAGATGGCGTTAGCTTCCCTACTTTGCGCGATAGTCCGTAGATGTTTTCCGTTTACACTCTTCTGTTTACACTCTAGTCATCGACGGAATGGTCGGATCGCATACTCGGTTTCGTCACATTGTTATTTTTTTTTTCTTCTCTATATTTTAATTCCATTTTTATTGGAATTTTATACATCAAGTTTTGTCACATATATAAAGAGCCTAGGCAGTCCATATAGGTTTACTAGTTGAATGTAATTTTTTAAAAAATATATATATTATTCTATTAAATTCATTAATGCATTTAATTGTTGATAATGTTGGTAATTACGTGTCACATGATTATCTGCAATCACCTTATTTTATTAATACTGTAATTTGAGGTTTTTTATAGAATTTATTTTTTTAATATTTATTCACTCATATAATACTACCCATTTAAAGTTTAACTTTTGATTAAAAAAAAACAAATCAATTACCTTTCTCTATAAAAAGCCCTTTGTATTAAAAAATAATCCTTCTCAAAAAGTAAAATACATATAATCGTGCATTTTATTCGGTTGGATTTTTTAATAAAAAATAAATTGAAGTGTACTATTCTATTTTCTAAAAATTAAATTAAGATTGAATGATACAAAAATCGAAATTTTTAGTTCGATTTTGCGGTTTTGATTTTTTTTATAATTTTAAACTCAACATAAAAAAGGTAAACTTGAAGCTTAAATCAAGTATAAATACATAAGTTAAAATTTATAAAAAATAATATTATTAGTTTTAAGAGATCATTTATATAAGTTTGCCTTATAATAAATTCAAAATGAATTTGATTTGAATCATTATTTTTTTCATTCGATTTGATTTGAAACAAACAAGCTTCATATAAAAAATAAAAATTGAATTGAATTATAAAATTATATATCTAAATCAAACTAATAAAAACTCAAATCAAATTAAACTGTATACTTTAATTCATACTGACTTTTTGATATTCTTAATTTCGTTATTCATCCCTAATAATAAGTGTGTAACATATCCTAATATTTTATAAGGATATAACTCACTTAAAATGTGTAAAACTATTTTAGTTTTATACATATTTAGGACCGCTGAATGAGTGAAAGTTAATGACTAAGATTAAAAATGGAAAATGAAAAGATATTTATTGGAAAAAAATATAAAATTAATTTCAACAATTAATTTTCACTCATTCAATTATCCTAAATACGTGTAAAACTGAAAGAGTTTTACATAATATAATTGGATCCTAACTCATTTCCATAAAATCTCTAATTTAATCGGATAATAAATCAACTCAACGCAAACTAGATAAGAAAAAGATATTGATGATATTCTAAGATTATTTTCTTTATCTTTTATAATTTTTTACAATATTTTAATTATATATATATATATATATTATCACTTTACTTGTAATTAATTAATCAAAATAATGTCATATAAATTATCGTATTCCGATAAGCTGAATAATTCGTGTGTCGGCTTTTTAAAGTTTTGTTCATTTCGATATTGCTAAGGGATTCATTTTCCAAATAGATTTTGAACGTGCATTCTTATCTCATCCATAATTCAATACATGTGGACATAATTTCTCACAATAATTACTCTTTTTATATAAAAATTGGACAAAATTAGAGATTTTTTAATAGTTTAATTATTATTTTTATTCTGTTTTGCATCTAGATTGGATCTACAATTAATTTTTTAAAAATATATATTAAATTTGGTTTTACATTGTAAAAGAGGATATTGACATATTACCTATATCTTGTCTCCATGCTCTCTCCAAATTTAATACTTAAATTATTTTTAATTATATAGATTTTTTAAATCAAAAATTAATATGCGCGTAAATATTTTATTTAGGATAAAATTTATTTTTGTTGAATAAAATTTATTGATCGATTAATTATTAATGTTTGTCATTAACATGACATATATTATGTATACAAAGTATCGATGTGACACGTCACATGTATAAAGTGTTGACATGATATTATTATGTGTCACATGTTATATCATTACTTTGAACACGTCACACATTATTACTTTGAACATGTGACATATACCATATTATCACTTTGATCACGTAATATATATCACGTTAATGAAAAATATTGATAGTTAATCAATTAATTGTTCTCATCTAACCATAAATATTTTATTTGAGGCCATTTTAACTGTTTTCATCTAACCCACAAACGTCTTAAAAACAATAAAAATAAAAATAGTTAATAACATAAAAAATCAATATTGATAAAAAATAAAAATACATAATATAGTTAAAAAATATCCATATATATTACTGGGAGTTGGTTCAAGTGGTAAGCATCTTGATTTTGTTTAAGCAGTTCTCGAGTTCGAGTCTTTGTGTATGCATTAAATCTTCGATGAAAGACTCACCCACCAAAATCATGTGTATGACTCGGATCGGTTCGGATTAATTAAGACCATATATCAATATTGTTAAATAATATAAAAAAACTATATATAATTTAGTTAAATATAATAAATGATATCTTAATTTTAATTTTGGTATGTTGTAGTGGATCATTTATATGATCAATAAATGTCTGTAATTGAATTTATATAACATAACATAATTGGAGGGGGAAGACAAATCTCTTCTAAAATTCATAAAATTAAAAATCCCCTTACTTTATTCATATTGGGACAAATAAATTAATTTTTTTAGATCTCGAATCTCATATTTGTTTAATAATCTGTAAATAAAATTAATTACTAAAAATTAATATTTTAAACTTTTTGGACGTATATGATAATTCGACGTTTTTCATGAAAAATCACCGGTGACCGGTATATTTATCAATCTAACACCGGTCAGATTATATTTCCCGATCTAACACCCGTAACAGTAAAGCGCGCTCCCTGCCCCGCACTATATGTTGATTTGGCTCCACGTGAGGTATAGCGCGCCCCCTGATCCGCGCTATAGTTGTTTATCTGACACGTGGGGTATAGCGCGATACAGAGGGCGCGCTATACCTTTAATTACCCCCAATCCTACCTATAAATACTCCTATCCTCTATTACTTTCATCACACCATATTCTCTCACATTCTCTCAAATTCTCTTAAATACTCTCTCTATTAAGGTATATTTTATAATATTTTTAATATTATGTATTTAATTTATTTAAGCATTTTACTTTATTTAATATTTTACTAATATAATTTTTTTACAGATATATAATGGAAGGCGGTCTACTTCGCTTGGATGGAAATCATATATCTCGACACTTTGCTGATATGGTAACATTTTAACGTTTTAATTTAATTTAAATTATTTGTAATAATTTGTTGATTTATTTAATGCATGATTATTAGATTAAGAATTAATTTGTGTAATTATTTAATTTTAGGAGAATGACCATGTATTAGATCCTTTTATTAGGAATCTTAAGTTAGTGATACCTAGTAGTGTCTTGTCATATTTAGTAGAGGCTGAATTTGGTTATATATGTATATATCAGGGTCAATGTAAGATAGAACCAGACCGTATTTCTACCTTAGTAGAGCGATGGAGGCCGGAGACCCACACATTCCATCTTCCGTGCGGAGAGTGCACGATTACACTTGAGGATGTTGCTATGCACCTACGGCTTCCGGTGGATGGAGATGTGATATCAAGGATCTCGCAGGGTTCCTAGACTACTTTGTGCCGGGATAATCTAGGACGTGTCCCGGAAAGTTTTATCGGAGGTAGGATACCATTAAATTGGTTAGATGCCAATTTTCGGGAGTTGAGCCCAGACGCCTTTGAGGATGAAGTTAAGATGTATGCACGGGCATGCATACTGCAGTTGATAGGAGGGTTGCTGATGCTGGACAAATCTCGCAACCTAGTTCACTGCATGTGGTTGCGACATCTTAGCGACTTTTGTCTGGCCAGATCATTCAGTTGGGGCTCGGTAGTTTTGGTTTTGCTGTACATGGAGATGTGTGGAGCCACTGACTACAGGCGTAATGCTATCGGCGGATGTCTCCTGCTGCTGCAGTCTTGGGCATGATATCGATTGCCCTTTTTATGTCCCGTTGTGAAGAACTCATTCGTATTTCCACTACTTCTGAGGTAATTATAAAACTGATTTTGTATATTAATAATTTTATACAACGTATAATAATTTTTTTTCCTTGAATAGGTGGTCTACTAATAGGAAAAATCATCAGGAGCTACCTGATGATTTAGATAAAATTAGGGTGCTAATCGATCAGAAGGTTGGCACACATGTATAAATTTTAATGTTTAAAATCGATTTTAGATTATAGTTATATAATTAGATTATTATTTTGATAAAAAAATATATAATATTTGTTTTAGTTTGAATGGGTGTCATATTGTACTGATGATATGAGGGCAGTGATCCCACTTGAGTTGAGGAGCCCATCAGATGTTTGGATGGCGATGGTCCCTCTGATCTGTTATGCGACCGTCGAGTGGCACTCTACTGATCGCGTGCTCCGTCAGTTTGGTTGTTTTCAACCAATTCCGGAAGCACCTCGCAATATGGACGAGTTGCATGCGGCAAGGCAGATACAGATTGGTTGGCGAGGCATCATCTGTGGGTCGTGTTGTGGGAGGATCGACATCGACGCCTTCCCCGTAGAGAGCCCATTTTACTTGACCTCTTGAGTGTTGCTGACGGTTATTATGAGTGGTTCAACAGTAACGAGAAACCGTTTCTGTTTCCCGAGGATGCACAAGGGCAGACCTTTCTGCGACGTCGACAGAGACGTTCACCGATACAGCACAATCGTCCCCCGACTCGTGGACGGAGAGCAGGTGCTTCCGGTTCATCCTCAGTTGCACCAACAGGACCTTCACAGCGACCACCGCAGCCATTTATGATGTCGCAACCATATATGATGCCGTCGTCTTTCCATTACCAGATGTCGTCGTCGCCATCTTTACCTGGTTTTGTGACCCCGCTGCCGCCACCGTCACAGATGACCCCTCCTGTAGGCTATTATGGGTCTATGTTTGCAGATCCGACTTGGGGTTTATATGCTGGATATTTAGCGGGTTCAGGCTCATCACCCATGGCCGCAACACAGATACCTCCTGTATAGTTTTCACACTCAGCGATGTCTGGGTTTTATGAGTTTTCCTAGTTTTCGCAGGCCGGTGGGATAGTCAGTCATACACCTCCAGGTTCATTATTCTATGGAGGTGCTTTATCGTCATCAGCTCCTCATCAACCTAATGTACCTGCTCAGGACGACGACGACGACAACGATGGTGATGGTGATGATGATGACAGCGAGGAGTCAGAACCAGTGATACGAAGAAATCCTCCTCAAGACCGACAACCACCGTCATGCGAAACATATTCGCGTCGCAGGCATCGATAGATTTTTTTTATTATATTTGTATTTACTTTATTTTTTTTAAATTGTAATTTTTTATTATTTCTCATTTAACACTTACTTTATTTTGTTAAATTTGTTGGATTTTTTTAATGTATTTCAGTTAATTTTATTTATTACCATTTAATATCAGTTATTGTAATTTGGTTATCATTTATCATTTAATTCTTTGAGTTTAAAAGTGCGACAATATTATATCTGCAAAAAAAATAACTGAAACAAACCTGATTAAATAAATTATATATGAACGAAAATATAACACAATAAATTTTTTACACATCAACGTAAATAATTTAAATAATATAATTTTATATTATTACCTGCACCGCAAAACTATTTTGACGTATGCTCATGCTTTTTAATTTTACAAACACAAAAATTAATTGAAAATAATTAGTATAATATTTTTTCAAATAATCATAATAAACAATAAGTATAATAAAAAAAATTATAACAAAATTTTTAACGAAAAATCACACGAACTTCTAAATCAAATATGAGAAAATTACCATAATTATTACTCGTTGACGAAATTGTTGTATTAATTTATAAGTTGAGAGGAGAGATGTGAGAAACTTAACCGGGAGTGAAGGATATTTATAACCATATAAGGCGTGGTACCTGCACCGCGCTATATGAAATTATTTAGATAAAAAAGTATAGCGCGGATCAGGGGGCGCACTATACCCACGTGTAAGCCATGTCAGCATATAGCGCGGTACATGGGGCGCACTATACCCCACGTGGCGTCAAATCAGCATATAACGCGGGGTAAGGAGCGCACTTTACTGCTACGGGTGTTAGATCAAAAAATATAATCTGACCGGTGTTAGATCAGTAAATATACCGGTCACCGGTAATTTTTAAGAAAAAATGCCTAATAATTCAAAGTGAAAATTGTGAATAATTTATTTTCTATGAAAAATTAAAAATTAAAAATTAAAAATAAACATAAAATAAAATTATATTACTATTTGAGATAAAATATAAATTTTTTTACTCTAAATTCGAATTTGATTTTGATCGCACTTTTATAAATTTTGACTAAAATCAAACTCGATTCTATCTAATCGAATTAAAATCAGTCAGATTTAGGTCAAATTACAATTCTTAATCATAATCATTAAAATCCAAACACCGGGTTATAGTATACAGCTTGGCACTATTAAATAATTAAAATAAGGAAAACGCCTTGTGTCGTCATGATTCATGAATCTCAATGTTCTTCACGACTCACGTAAAAAACTTTTCATCATTCACGTTAACAACTTTAGTTTATATTTAATGTAAAAAAATCTGTGTTTCCCTCTCTATATATATACATACATACATATATATATATATATATATTACCCAGTTTAATTCCTAACAGACAACTTCTCTCTGTTTCTATATCCCTTCTTCTGTGTGGTTGCTTTTCGATATATCTCTATATATTTCTTCCGTTTTTTGACCAGATATTCATTCCAAGATTAACCCAATTCTCTTTTCGTACCAGATGTTAAGAAAAAGGTTTGCTTTTTTTTATTCTAATAGATATATATAATTTTTGCTTATTAAGAAAGAAGCCATTGAAGTGTGTTTTAAGTATAGTCAGTGGTTTCTATTTGATTTTCCCCAGTAATTTCTGGGGGAAATTCTGTCCATTAGAGTTTTCTCGTCCAATTCTCTGAAGGGTTTTGTTTTTATTTGGTTTTGGAATTCCTAGAAATATGGGAATATTAATATCAATCTTCCACATCCAAGCAAATTCTTAAAAGTTAATCTTTTTTTGCAAAGAATGATTTTTTTTTTCAAATTCCAATTCCCTCCCCATTATCTCATTCAATGTATTTGCCACTTTTTAGGTGAAAAACTACTTGCCATACCAAGCCATATCACAGAGAAGAATTAAATACTACCATATAAGGTACATATCTTGAGCCATTGTTTTCTGGTTTCGATTCCCAGATTTAAGTTGTTGAGATTTTTTAAGGATTTTGCAGGAGATTTGATTCGAGGATAAACGTAGAAGAGAATGAAGAACTCGGTTTCGGATCAGAGTTTCTGCATCGAGAGTGAAGATGAAGAAGAAGAAGTGGAGAAGCTAGAGGATAACAGACATGGAGAAGATGATGCCAATGAGAATGATTTTTATACCTACTTTTCTTCAGCTGAGAATCTGCAACAAAACAAACCCAGTTCTCATCACACCAGTCAATGGCCTCAAAGTTACAGGTGCTGTGTTTTTCTCTGCTTTTAGGTCTAGTAATCGAGTCCGTCCGACAAATATTCGAACATGAGTGTATGATACGATCTTTATTGGATATGATTTGTACTCGTATCTGACGAGTTTGAGTTCGGATTGTCTATCATACCAGTGTGGATGAATATTGTGAATGAATTGGTGCAGGAGATCCTTCTCTATGACACTTTGTATGATTGATAAACTCAAATGTCTATGGTTTTATGTTAATTTTCCTTTTGCAGGCAGTCTATTGATTTGTATAGTAGTGTACCATCTCCCACCATTGGATTCTTGGGCACTCCTACACTATCAAGACTAGGGAGTTCGTTTCTCTCATCGTCGTTAACTCGAAGGTTTACACCAGAAACACTACATGCGCCGGCGAAGAAACCATTACTACCACTGTCGTTAGATGACGAAATACAACCGCATAAATGTAGTACGCACTCTTTGGTGCCATCGAGGAAACCATCGGTAAAATTCGATGACAAAATCTACGAGGTCGACCATGGCCATGGAATCCCCCTCGGTCGCCAGAGTTCGTATGGTCAAGCAGTGATGAATGGTTAGTTCTACTGACTGATGAGCACTTACCAGCACAAAAAGAGGGATGCGTGGCTGAATCTGTGGGAACATATTACATCAATTGCTAACTAAAAGTAACAAATCCCATTGTCACCATTGGTCCCCCATCCATCCTCACAGCACATGGCTTAAAATCCACACCATCGATTTGTTATATATCCTTATCCACTATTATACTTGCAGTACGTTAAAGAAATATAGTCATTTTATACATTTTTCTTAATATTTTTGTTTAATTTTTGGATTCATGTCTGCCATTTTCTGTCCATTTGCTCACTAACGTTATCATGCATGGACATGATGTGGCATGACTTTCATAGCACATGGTGCACATGAAAGGAAAATATAATTATTAGGAATATAATTATGTAGTTTTATAATTATAAAGAATTTTAATTCATATTTACTGTGCAGGGATCAATGTGCTATGTGGTGTTGGAATCCTTTCCACCCCATATGCTGCTAAGGAAGGAGGCTGGTTAGGGCTTATAATATTATTAACATTTGCTGTGCTTTCTTTTTACACTGGCCTGCTTCTGCGCCAATGTCTGGATAGCTCACCTGAGCTTGCTACTTACCCTGATATCGGTCAAAAGGCGTTCGGTGCCGCCGGTAGAATTACCCTTTCGGTGAGTCTTAATCTCTACATTGTTTTGGGTTTTCATTTTTCTTGAAATACTCATGTTCGAACCTGTAACAACATCCCTCTTTTTTTGTGGGTGCAGATAATTTTGTATGTGGAGTTATATGTAAGTACAGATGTCTTTTCCTAAAAGAACTATGCATATGCATATGTGTGTGTATGTATGTATGTATGTATGTATGTATGTATGTATGTATGTATGTATGTATGTATGTATGTATGTATGTATGTATGTATGTATGTATGTATGTATGTATGTATGTATGTATGTATGTATGTATGTATGTATGTATGTATGTATGTATGTATGTATGTATGTATGTATGTATGTATGTATGTATGTATGTATGTATGTATGTATGTATGTATGTATGTATGTATGTATGTATGTATGTATGTATGTATGTATGTATGTATGTATGTATGTATGTATGTATGTATGTATGTATGTATGTATGTATGTATGTATGTATGTATGTATGTATGTATGTATGTATGTATGTATGTATGTATGTATGTATGTATGTATGTATGTATGTATGTATGTATGTATGTATGTATGTATGTATGTATGTATGTATGTATGTATGTATGTATGTATGTATGTATGTATGTATGTATGTATGTATGTATGTATGTATGTATGTATGTATGTATGTATGTATGTATGTATGTATGTATGTATGTATGTATGTATGTATGTATGTATGTATGTATGTATGTATGTATGTATGTATGTATGTATGTATGTATGTATGTATGTATGTATGTATGTATGTATGTATGTATGTATGTATGTATGTATGTATGTATGTATGTATGTATGTATGTATGTATGTATGTATGTATGTATGTATGTATGTATGTATGTATGTATGTATGTATGTATGTATGTATGTATGTATGTATGTATGTATGTATGTATGTATGTATGTATGTATGTATGTATGTATGTATGTATGTATGTATGTATGCATGCATGAACATTGATTCTCTTCTATACCAGTGAGTTTACTCTTACAATCTTCAATGTAGGCTTCTTGTGTTGACTATATAATTCTAGAGGGTGATAATTTATCATCCTTATTCCCAAATGCACATCTTAGTTTGGGCGGATTCGAGTTGAGCTCACATCGTCTCTTCTGTTTGATGACGACTCTTTCCGTTCTTCCGACGGTTTGGCTCAGAGACCTCAGTGTTCTTAGTTATATATCAGGTAACAAATCGAATGGTGACGACAATTCTTGACATAGTTTGAGGTTGTCTCAAGTGGAATCTGTTTTTTTTTCCCAGCTGGTGGAGTTTTTGCATCATTTTTGGTGGTCATTTGCTTGTTTTGGGTTGGCTTGGTAGACCAAGTTGGGTTTCATAACAAAGGGACACCATTGAATTTGGCTACTCTTCCGGTCGCAGTTGGACTCTACGGCTTCTGCTACTCGGGCCACGCTGTTTTCCCAAATATATACACTTCAATGGCTGAACCAGCTAAATTCAATTCAGTACTCTTATCATGGTACACTAAAGCTCATCAAATCTATTTATGGTGTTGCATTCTATCCAATGTATAGATATGACCTTCCTAGGACCATCCGAAACACAATTACGGCCCGAGTCTTTAATGTTCCTTGCAGTTTCGGAATCTGTACTTTGTTGTATGCTGGAACTGCAGTTATGGGGTACAAAATGTTCGGCGAAGCAACAGAATCTCAATTTACACTTAACATGCCTAAAGATCTGATTGCTTCTAAGATTGCCGTATGGGCGACGGTACGCTGTTTGTCTTATCAGATTATTATACATGAACAAAAGTACTTTAAATGAAGAGTCCGAGTAACATAGTCACGTACTTTTTCGAGTAGCATTTTATGACTTCTGTATTTAGTAAACATATCCATATACTTTTTTTTTCTTGTGCAGGTTGTCAATCCATTTACCAAATATGCATTAACCTTGTCTCCAGTAGCAATGAGTCTTGAGGAATTGTTACCATCACGCCATCTCAAGTCCCACATCTACCCTATCTTGATTCGAACATTGCTGGTGATGTCGACCTTGCTCGTCGGTCTTAGCGTTCCCTTCTTTGGTAAGCACCTTTATGTGAGCAAAAACCTCTAAGAATTTCTTTCGATTTTCAGGTTTTATCATTGGAAAATTTTCGTTGTTTGTTGCAGGCTTGGTGTTGTCTTTGATAGGATCCTTACTCACAATGCTTGTTGTAAGTCATCTTCTGTCGTTGTTGATCATGTTTTCTACTCAGCTGAAATAAACATAGAACTCAACACTAATGTTCTTTTTCCTGATAATTTTCTTCCATGGCAGACCTTGATACTCCCCCCTGCTTGTTATTTAAGCATACTGAGAGGCAAAGTAGGCCGTATTCAGGTACGATCATACGACACATGCACGAGTATTTATCGAACATGAATGTTACACACGAATACTTTAATTTACTGAGAATCTTTTCATTTTTTTTACAGGCTGCAATTTGTATTATAATTATTGCAGTGGGAGTAGTTTCATCAGCCTTTGGAACATACTCAGCGCTAACCAAGATTGTTGAGAATTTGAGAAAATGAGAATCTTTAACTAAATTTCCTCATTTTTGAACTGCTTTTTGAGTGAATTCTGGAATTTGGAATTTGGAAAATGAAAAATCTTTTCTTGTTAGTTTGGTTAATTTAGCATTCTGTTAAAGTAATTTATATATATGAAGCTTCTCTGCAAAAGCAGAGCCTATTGCAGTTGATTATCTCCATGACACGAATATAACAAAATTCGTACTAAATAATTTTTCCTATGTATCTCCGGTTTCCATGTTTGCCACCCTTTGTCCCCCGGTTATCAGATCGACAAACCTTCGCTTCAAGAGCTCTCTTTTTGATGGTTCCGAAGCCTGTTTCTGAATTGAACTTTGTAGTGGGTTGCAGGCTTACCATATCTTCAGTTTCCATGATTTCATTCACCATCTGTAGAACTTCACTCATTTTCGGGCGTTGCTTCCCCTGCCGAGCCAAGCATTTGTTGGCTACTGCTGCGAGCTTACGAGCAGACTTGAGGGAAAACTTGCCTTCGAGCCTCGGGTCCAAGATCAGCACGAACCTCTTCTTATCGGATAGGTGTGGCCTCACCCATTCCAAGAGCTTTTCTTCGCCCTTGGGGCGGTTCCGGTCCAATGGACGTCTACCAGTTATGAGCTCATAAAGAAAAACTCCATAGCTCCATACGTCGCTTTTCGCCGTGAGGCGTCCAGTTTGAATGTATTCTGGAGCTGCATATCCGATTGTTCCTACAACCTGCTCAAAACCGGGGCAAATTGGTACCTCATATCAAAGAGATAAGACCAAAGAAGTTGGAAAAGGAACCTACTGCAGTTGAGACATGGCTTAATCCATCCGAAGGTCCCAGTCTGGCCAACCCGAAATCCGAGAGCTTTGCATTCCAATGCTCATCCAAGAGTATGTTTGAAGACTTGAAATCTCTGAAGATAATCTGTAGCCATAATAAACCAAAAATTCTTAAGGCTGTAAGTAACAATTAGGTGACTTCGAGTTTCGGTTACAAAACAAAGCTTCATAGTTATCAATTTCCGAAAAGCCATATCTATTGAGAAGTAAAACAAACCTGGAAATCCATTCCTTCGTGGAGGTACATTAAGCCGCGAGCAGCATCCTGGGCGATTTTCATTCTCGTGTCCCAAGGAAGAGTTGTTTGAAACCGACTCGATAAGTGATCCTGCACACTCCAGTTCGGCATGTATTCATATATCAGTAGCCTCTGTATTCCTCTTTCATCATCCTCAGCACAGTAACCCAACAATTTGACAAGGTTTTGGTGTTCGACTACCCCTAAAACATTCACTTCTGTCACCCATTCTTTATGCCCCTGTAAAAGAACATATCATGAGAACCTATTAAATCATCAGAGCTTTTGTTTTTCGAAACTAATTCTCACCGGAAACCGAAAAAAGTAGGTTTGCAATATTAAAACTGCAAGAGTCAAGATGCCTTACAGCCTGCGTGAAACAGTTTAGCTTAGTCTAGGAAAGAGGGTACCACTGTACCACTACGGCTACACTAGTATTTCGAGGCCTTTGAACTTGGTAAAATGCTTCATAGTGTCGACGACCGAATGTCTAAAATACATGATTTATCAGATATCAAAGAGTGTTTTCTGGTGATGTCATATGCAAGGATGTGCCAAGGAGATAACCAGGCATTCATAGAATATATCATACAGTTCGGTTAAACGAAACTATATATGTATTTCCTTATAATAACAGCATTATATTATCTTCATTCATGTACAAGATGATCTTAAGGAACATATGAAGTGTTGAAATTCGGTATGTAGAACAAACTATCGAATCGAAAAGAGCTCCCCGGAGCTGTTGCCTTGTTGGATTCTAATACAGATTAAGACAGTTATGAAAGTTCAATAACAAATACTATCAAAGTGCATATTGGTGGTGAGGCAGAAAGTTCACCTGCAATCCTCTTCTGCTGAGTTGTTTAACAGCAATATTGAGTTTCTTGTTGGAATCATCGGTAAATCGGATTACACCTTGATACACACAGCCGAATCCGCCTTCTCCGATCATTAAGGACCGGCTGAAGTTCTTTGTTGCGGCCTTCAACTCCAAGAATGTGAACTCTCTGAGATTGGTTTGCCTTTGAGACAAAGCAGCAAACGAGTTCTTCGTCGTGGAGGATTCGGTGCTGCTAATATCGGACACATTCTGAGAATTAAACTCAGACCCCGATCTCCTCATTTCATGGTCCGTCGACATGGAAACCGATTCGGAGGATCGAACCGAAATCGACTTCGTAGTTTTCGGTTCATCATTCTTCTCTTTACCAGAGAAATGAAAACACTTCATTGCCACCCAATGAAAACAAACAAACCACACTGCACATCAACAAAAATGAATCAATGGAAACCATAACATAAACAGCAAATATTCACAAAAACCACCATGATCAACTCAAACAACAGCTGAACTACACAACCTGGTCTCAGATCAAAAAATTAATCTTTAAAAGAAACAATTAAAACCCATATTTTCTGTTTCCTCAACAATGTGAAATCCATAATTATATTGACAAACATGTTAGCTTTCACCAAAGGAGCATAAATTCAAACACTTTTCATACAGAAACGAAACAATTTCAAACAAAGAACTGACCTTTTGATCAATGATCTGTTCTAAAACACACGAAGAAAACAACAAATTACTAGAGTTCAGAGGCTAAGATATAAAAAAGGAAACCCAGAAAGGCAAAAGCTAAACTGAGAGGAGAATCCAAGGGAAATGGAAACGAGCTCTCCATGATGTAATAAGTCAATGCAAAAGCAGATTAATTGTAGCTCAACAACCAAGAACCCCATTTGGCAAAATAAAAACTTTGAGTGAGTAAACAATAAAATCCAAAAAAAAAGATTAAAAAAACTAAATGAGATTATAGTATTAATTGTGGGGTTTGAAGAAGAAAAAAGTGAAGAGATGAAGATTTGGGTGTCGCTTACGTCGGATTTTTAAGGTGAAAAAATCACGGAGAACGAGTCATTGGTATGCCACATCTTTCAATATTTAAAAAAAAAGGTGGTTGACAGTTGGAAACTATTGAATTTGGCGTAGCTTGCAACCATGACCTCTTAACTGTTCATATAACAAATTCAAAAAAAAAACTACAAGAAGAAGAATACATAAGCAAAAATTTAATAAAATTGTACGAATAAAGGGTAGTTCTAACTTCTAGTGGAGTCGGCATAAGCTGTTTTAGCATGCAAAATTACAGAATCATTGTGAAATAGAAAAATAAGAGTGATTTATGAATTTAGGGTAAACTATACATTTAGTATCCAATTATCATTTTTGTTCTTTTTTGGTCACCCAACTATTTTTTTTAAAAGTATACATAACGTTACGTTTTGATTTCATTTTGGTTATACACCGTTAAAAAATTAATGGTGACATTGACGTTTTACCATAAAATAATGTCACGTTATCATTGAAAAAATGTTATGTCAGTAGTTATGTTATTTTTTTAATGATGGGTTCCACCAGTACTAGGAGATGTACGAATTGATATATAAAATAACTTTTTATTTGATTGATAATTATGACTAAAGTGAAATCAAAATGTAACGTTAGGTATGATTTTGAAACAAAAAATAATTGAGTGATCAAACCATAACAAAAGTTATAATTGAGATAATAAACGTGTACTTTATTATCCTATTGATCTTCTATGTCTTGGATCTTCAAATTGGATTTGAATACACGATTTGTGTTCGTAGATAATTTTTTCACAACACTCGATTTTGTTTTACGGTTGTTGGTGATCTTTAAGTAGTTTAATCTCTTGTTGTGATTCGTTTGTTGATACAATCAAATTTATTTGTATCTGTCTTTTGTTTAAGTTTTTACATTTTTCTTGTATAATCCTTTTATGATCTCGAGCGACTCATGTATTTTGTTTTACGAACTTTATGATAATCTTGAATATTTTATTTTTTTAAATAAAATTAACGATTCTATTTGCGTCAAACAAAAGTTAAATGACAAGTTTTTTTGAAAATTTTAAAGTAAAATGGCCAAAATAAAACACTGTCAAAATTAGGTGACGAAAAGCATAGTTTACCCTCTGTAATTGTCAGACACTAAAGAATGTTTATAAATGGTGTAATAATATGATGAATATTATAAATGGTGTAATAATCACTACACGTCCTTTTGTCTAAAATATTAATATTATTAATAATAATTTAAAATCAGGACTATGTATCCTTGTCATGAAGCTGGCAGCATTAATTAATGACCAACACAATTTGCAAAAATGTTCTCCTCAATGCATCTTTACTTATTGTAATTTTTTATAACATTTTAAAAATTTATAACGTTAAGATAGAATTTTATATTCATCCCTAAATTTGATAATGAGAAAAAATATATATCAATTGAGTGTTTATGTATTATCAACGACGAATCTAAAAATATTATTGAGAATAGACGAACATATATTACTAATATAAAATTTTTGTATAGAATAAATAAAATAAAATTTTAAGCTGAACACGATTAATAAAATAAATACCTAAAGCAAATTCTGAATTTAGGATAAATGTGAATCCACCACTCTACATCATTATCATATTTAATATATTTTTCATAAAATATCAAAAAATAACATTATAATTTCATTTAAAAAAATAAAAATAATGAAAGAAGTAATCGGAGCCTAGTTGCATCGGAACATGAATTCCGCATTTTCATAAAAGACGGCCAACAAAGCCCTAATTTACAAATTTCTCAAAAAATTTCAAATGGTCGTTCTCTTTAAAAATCTTGAGATTACTGGATGTATTATCGTGTGATTCATTTGGATGGACGTATGGTTACTCGCATTAATGACATTGAGGATAAGCAAGAATTGAAACATGTGGTGTAAATGAACCTTTCAATTGATGATTGGTTTGGGAGAATGTGAGATTTTTATGGGAATGAAATTCATATTTTCCTGTTTAGTTAACTCGGGAATTTCATTCCCAGTAATGTAAGATTACTAATAGTGGATTTTTTAGGTATATTACCGGGAATGTCATTACCTCCCTTTCCTTAAACTATTTTAGATTTACAAAAAAAATTTATAATTAAAATTTTATATGAAGTTCAAGGGTTAAAATAAAATTTTACCATTTTATTAAACCTTTTTATATTTTCAATTTTATAAAAAAATTATATAATTTTTATTAATTTAAATTTTTTTAAGAAAATATATAAATATTTTTTAATTTATTAAAAAAAATAATATATAATAAGTATAATTTTGTCAAATATACATTTTAATAATCTTTTATTCCTTTAACTAAACACGGTAATCTTATATTCCTACTAAACTAACCAAACACAAAATACAACATTCGTAATAATCATATTCTTGATAATCTTTTATTCCTACTGATAATCTTTTATTCCGTGATTTAAACGTATTATAAATGCATTCGTGGTTGACTTGGTCATAGTCCTTACACAAGGGGCCGCCACAGTTTAAACTTTCAACAACCAAATCTTAGGTTATTAACCCACAAATACAGTAATTTACTCTACTCATTTCTAAAAAGGTTCATATTTTGGACATAGTCCTCATGTTTTTTATGTTAGTACACAGTTTTTCTTCTCAAAAACCAGACACCCAACCAAGCATGTCCTGCTGCTAAAAGCCGGCAACCAAGAAGAACATGCCGAAGACAAACTCTCTTCTTACAAGGGTCCTACCTTCCATGAACTTACATGACCCAGTAAGCAATTTGAAGAAAAGAAAAAAAATTGAAACTTTCCCTTTTCATCATAAAGGAGATGGCTAAGCAACTTTCATAAAATATCTAAAAAGGTTTGACCTTTAAATCCCACAACTTGGTTTCCTTCATCCAACCCTAGGTCTCTTTATATCCCTTCAATCTCATATTTCTTTAGCTCCAAACATTTGTATCCAAAACAAAAATTTTGTTCTCTTTGTTGGGCTCCTTTTCAAATCCTCAAAATGGGGTTGAAGAAGCTGAAATTTTTCAGTTTTTGGTCAGTTTCAATATGGGTCTTTTTTGTAGTTTTGAGTTTCCTGATGAACTTTGTACAATGTCAAGGTGTTAATGATTATGATCAAGTGGACAATCCTGCTGTTCTTCCCTTTGTTACATCTCTTGTTAATAGCAGGCTTTCTAATCTCACCAATGTCCTTAGCAAGGACATTAGTGACCAAGCCAGTTTCTGCATTAAGGACCAGTGAGTTTCTCTCCTTTTGTTTTCACCCCCATTGTTGCACTTGTCGATTCTCTGTTTCTGGAATTGAATATTTGTGAAAACAATGGGATTGGATCTTGTTTGGGTTTGAACTTTGATGATGCCTTTGTGTTTCAGGGAAGCTGAGTGGAACAAAGCATTTAATTTCTCATCAAATCTGGATTTCTTGGCTTCATGTATTCAGCAAACTCAAGGTACAATATATGTAGTTTGAATGAATTCAAGTTCTTTCTTCGGTGGATGAAGGAAATATGTTACTCATCGGGTTTTATGTGTTCCATGCGGGTTCTTAGAGTAACATATGATACACTTTTCTGGATATATGGGAGTAACATAGTTCGATTGTGTTCTCCGAGTATTATTTTGCTAATTGTTGTAGTTAATGTTGCAAGTAGAGATTTCTTTGCATAAAACCAACAATGTATGGAGTTATCAGTTATGTTTTCTCATATTTTGGTCCGGTACCGTTGTGTTTATTGGTCAAACAGGGAGTATTATGCAGCGTGTGTGCACGGCAGCGGAGGCAAAATTCTACTTTGATACGTTTTTCAAAGGTTCAAATGCCAATGCTTTGAGGCCTAACAAGAACTGTAATTTAACCTCGTGGGTGTCCGGTTGTGAGCCGGGATGGGCTTGTCGTGTTGGTCCAAACGAGCAGGTTGATATTGAGAATTCTAAGGTCATTCCTTCTAGGATTACTGATTGTCAACCATGTTGTGCAGGGTTTTTCTGCCCTCGTGGTCTTACTTGCATGATCCGTAAGTATCTAAGAATGTTTTGTTAATTTACATTAATATCGACAGTTATCTTGTATCTTTTGTTTAGTTATTGTCGCCGTAACATGTAATTCTCTACTTTTTGCTCATGCTTTCGCCGGATTCTGTCGCCCTATAGCTTGTCCTCTGGGTTCCCATTGTCCGAGTGCAACACTGAATACCCAAACTGGCCTATGTGAGCCGTAAGTTCATAATATTTATAAGCATTTCATTCCAAGTCGAATGGCCTATGGTTTTAACAAGTTCCTTATTAAAAAAAATTCATCGATATGGTTTCAGATATAACTACCTGCTGCCTCCGGGAAAGCCGAACCATACCTGTGGAGGAGCCAACATATGGGCCGATATTCGTACCAGTAGCGAAGTGTTCTGTTCAGCCGGGTCATATTGTCCAACGACGGTACAGGAAAAGCCTTGCAGTAGTGGGTATTGTTTTTCTTCTGATATTTTGTAATTTCGTTCTTTCTACATTTGTTATATGAAAGTATTTAATTATCTCGTCCTGACCTCTTGCTTTCGTATTCGTCTTTCTTGATGCTATCATATTTTCGTGTGCCTTTTCAGACATTACTGCAGGACGGGTTCAACATCTGAGAAGCGTAAGCCCTATACTTAAGACTATTAATTTTTATATCCGAGTTCCGACTGCATTCGAAATATATCTCGAGTCTTCATGTTATCCGGATTGTTAGTTTAACCCTCATTGATCGTACAGGCTGCTTCAAGTTGACTTCTTGCAATTCAAACACATCAAGTCAAGATCTGCATGCCTATGGAGCTATGCTTATAGTAAGTTGTTTGCTTTATTCTACGAGCTGCAAAAGTCGATCGCTGGTTCTTTTATTTTTGCAACGTTACCATTTTCCGTTTGATATTCATTCTATTTTTCTAGATTTGAATCGGACATACTTAAGGAAGTATGCATATAGCTCCATAGACAGCAGACAGCAGTCTGAAAGTAAACATGAAAATCTCCTTTGCTTATGCAGGCTGCTACTGTTACTCTGCTCTTGATCATCTACAACTGTTCCGACCAAGTTCTCACTACAAGGGAAAGACGACTGGCTAAAACCCGAGAAACAGCAGCAAGAAGTGCAAGGGAGACGGCAAAAGCACGGCAGAGGTGGAAAGCTGCTAAGAATGCTGCTAAGAAACATGCAAGTGGACTGCAAACTCATATTTCACAGAGATTTTCTTTTAAAAAAACCGCAAAACATCCCAACGAGGAACTTAAAATATTGGATGAAACAAAGTTTGAAACGGATGCACACTTGTATTCTCCAGTACATATGAGCACTTCAAGTGAGTCTCTATCATCATCTGCACCATCCAATGGACAACCAATAGAACCTCGCAATCCAATGCCAATGATGCATGAAACTGAAGATGAGCCCGAGAATTATGACGGATTTGATGTCGGTAGACATGATAGAAAATCGAAAGGTCAAACTACGAAGGGAAAAAAGCCTCATACACATAGCCAGATTTTTAAGTATGCATATGCTCAAATCGAGAAAGAGAAAGCACAACAACAAGACAATAAGAATCTTACATTCTCGGGAGTGGTTTCTATGGCTACTGATCCCGAAATGAGGAAAAGGCCTCTGATCAAGGTCTCTTTCAAAGACCTTACACTCACATTGAAAGGAAAAGAAAAGCATCTTTTGAGGTGCGTTACTGGAAAAATCAAGCCTGGTCGCATCACTGCTGTCATGGGTCCTTCTGGTGCCGGCAAAACGACATTTATTTCTGCTCTGGCTGGGAAGGCAATGGGTTGCAAGATGACCGGTTTGATTCTTATTAATGGAAAGAATGAATCAATCCGCTCATATAGGAAAATAATAGGTTATGTGCCACAAGATGACATCGTGCATGGGAACTTGACAGTGGAAGAGAATCTATGGTTTAATGCAAAATGCAGGTATGCTAGATTCAAACCTGTTTTACGTTACCGGCATACATCATGAAACATGTACTTATAGGTATTAGTGGTATTTCTGGAGTCATTTTATTTAAAAATTGTGTTTGATGATTTTTTATGCATGCTTAAATTATATATAGTGTTTTTTTAACTACCGCTTCTTTTACATTGACTGCCTCTATTATCCTATCTGATAAACTTCTGCATATTTAAGATTGCCTGCTCATTTACCAAAACCGGATAAAGTTCTTGTCGTCGAAAGAGTTATAGAGTCTTTGGGGCTTCAGATGGTGCGTGATTCCTTGGTGGGAACAGTAGAAAAGCGAGGCATCTCAGGAGGCCAGAGGAAGCGAGTAAATGTCGGATTGGAAATGGTGATGGAACCTTCACTTTTGATCTTGGATGAACCGACATCTGGTTTGGACAGTGCATCCTCTCTGCAGCTTCTTCGAGCACTTCGACATGAGGCTCTTGAAGGAGTAAACATCTGCATGGTGCTTCATCAACCAAGGTAATGAATTCTTATCCGAAGTCTACTTTTCATTTTAGAATCTAAAGCTTGCGAGTTCAGTCTCTTTTTTGTGTATTAATTGCTGAAAATTCCGGTTCAGCTACTCCTTGTTCCAAATGTTTGATGATCTAGTCCTTTTGGCGAAAGGGGGATTCACAGTCTACCATGGTTCAGCAAAGAAAGCAGAACAGTACTTTGCAGGCCTTGGGATCCATGTCCCAGATCGTGTTAACCCTCCGGATCACTTCATTGACATTTTAGAGGGTATCGTAAAACCAACTCAAAGCTCGGGTGTGAACTATAAAGAGCTTCCGGTTAGGTGGATGCTTCACAATGGCTACCCGGTGCCCCCTGATCTGCAGCAAGCTGCTGCTCGGATAGCTACCCCCTCAGCGAGTCCAGCTCCTACTAATGGGACAAGTCCTCATGCTGGAACAGAAGAAACATCTTTTGCTGGAGAGTTATGGCAAGATGTCAGGAGTAAAGTTGAGATACATCGGGATAGCATACGTCACAATTTCTTAAAGTTTAAGGACTTGTCGAGGCGGAGGACTCCAGGTGTACTCTGGCAATACAGATACTTTCTTGGGAGGTAAGTACTATGATCTATCGAGTTAACCATCCCTGGTGAAAACCGTTTAATTTCTTTGCATTATTTATTTTTCACTCGACAAAATAATCATCTTAATTCCACATTATCTCAGGCTTAGTAAGCAGCGAATGAGGGAAGCTAAAGTACAAGCAACCGATTATCTGATCTTACTACTTGCCGGAGCATGCTTAGGAACAATAGCTAAAACGGGCGAAGAAAACTTTGGGGCCGTCGGTTATACTTATACCATAATTGCAGTCTGTAAGTCCAAGTACTCTTTCGACTCGTTCTCATGAAAGTCACAAACGAAACGTAAATTGCTATATCGAATCGCTCACCATAAAATATCTCTATGTTTTCAGCCCTTCTATGCAAAATAGCCGCTTTGAGATCGTTTTCGCTCAATAAATTACAATACTGGAGAGAGAGTGCATCTGGCATGAGCAGCTTGGCTTACTTTTTGGCCAAAGATACAGTTGATCATTTCAATACTGTGATCAAGCCCGTGGTGTATCTCTCTATGTTCTTTTTCTTCACAAATCCGAGATCTTCGTTCGCGGAAAATTATACTGTCTTGCTGTGCTTAGTTTACTGTGTGACCGGTATAGGCTATGCATTTGCCATCTTCTTTCAACCCGGTCCTGCCCAACTGGTAAGCTAGATTTGATCACACTGAGCTGGAAATGTCTTTTACGGATTACTGATGTCGTATATCTTTTCGTTTCCTTGTAGTGGTCTGTTCTTGTTCCTGTTGTTCTGACTCTCGTGGCAACTCGGACTCAAGATAATGAAATCTTGAAAAGGATATCTAATCTGTGCTATCCCAAGTGGGCTTTGGAAGCTTTTGTGATATCAAACGCTGAAAGGTATGTCATAAGTTGTATCCGATCATCTATCCTGGAGATCACAGATCAGTTGTATGCATTGCTATCCCGAGTGAGCTTTGGAAGCTTTTCGGTTTTCTTTGCTATGAAAGTCTCTCTTACCGATAGTCATGTTACGATTCAGGTACTATGGAGTGTGGTTAATTACTCGATGCGGAGCTCTTCTGAAAAGTGATTATAGTCTAGATGAATGGAATCTTTGTATAGTTATTCTCATTCTCACCGGTGTAATCAGTCGTTCAATTGCATATCTTGGTATGATCACATTCCAGAAGTGAAAATCCAAACATTTGGCCGCATTCTATTTCCATCCGAAGAAGTTCGGTCCTAAAGGCTAGCAGAACCATTGAACCTACAACAACCCAAAAATCGTGGGAGCGATGATCGCAACCTGTCGACAAATGGCTCCATATATTTTCTTGTACATCTCGGAATCGATCGATTAAACTTAGTTACACTTAGGTTATAGACCCATTTCATTTGTACATTAGGGAGTGTGGTTTCTTTGGTTAGTTTCATTTGAGAATCCATTTCCAGGCATATGATAACTGTAAAGAATAAAGATACCATTTGTTATTGTATTTAGTCCTTTCGTGTCATCTCTCGTTCGTACACATCTATTTTTTTTTTTCGAGTTTACTATAAGGTATGGAGTTTGAAAATATGTAGTAATTATAAAAAGAAAAAAAATAACATTTTGTATATTCTACGTTTATAGGCTTTATCAAGAAGACCTCAAAATCTATACTGTTCAACCAATGATTATTTTTATATAATTTTAAGAGTCAAATGGATAAAAGATTTAAATGTAAGGGAATTAAAAAATTATTTACTTTTTTACAACTATCAGGTTAATGGTTAACAATAAACTCGAAAAGAACACAAGAATCAAGATTTTTTCCCAAATAAAAAATAGTACGAGAATCTAATATTGAAAATTTTAAGTATAAAGACTAAATTTTAAAATTTAAAGTAGTATGAGGATCCTTGACATATTTAAACCTATTTTTTTCTATAGAGACACATATAATTAGTATTTTTACCTTACCTACCGTGTTTAGGGTGATTACATAAGATGGAGAATTAAAATATTAAAATTATGAATGAGAAAAAACTATGATTGAAAGAATTATCCCATAATAAAAATTTATAATAGTTAATTAATTAATAAATGAAATACAGATGATTATATATAAAAAACAGAGTTTATATATTTGATTGCAGTTTGTGCAATGAAGTTGTTGATACAAAATACATTTGAATAATAAAAGTAAAAATATAAATAAACAATAACTTAAAACATCAATCGGTTCTTGTTTTTTTCACAAACATTTTCATAGGGAAATAAAACAAACTATGAGCACAAATTAAATAACTTATAAAACAGTGAAGTTTGTTGCACAAATGGGGAAAAACATACCCCCTTGTTTAGCAGATAGGCAAAGGAGCACCGTTCCAGTCTTTCAAGCAATCCAGCAATGGATCAATCAACTTCCCTTCACACATCGCCGTGAAAACCTTGTCACATTCTTCTCCCGGCGAGATCGTCTTCTCGCCGGTCAACAAACTTGTTCCCAGGACGTCCCTCACGAACTTGTACAACGGATACGACCTGCATTCTTCGATCTTGTTCGGGATAGTGTGATTCCCATTCTCTAATTCGGTCCTGGCATTCTCGACTTCTTTAGGTAGATGTGTTTTCAGCTCTTCTTCGAATGCACCAATCTTTTGGAAGATTGATGTGGTTGAGTCCAGTTCTTTCTCACCGTTCATCAATGCATGGTCTACTAGAACTTGTCTCAGCTTTTGAATTAATGAGTAGTTCTGACTGCAGGGGTCGTCGACGTAGGCGTAGAGATGCTCACGATCGACGACTCGTAGAAGGTCCTTTTCGCAGAATCTCGACGGGTGAAGTTCGCCGTTCGATCCCATTGTTAGGACTCGTTTAGCCACTTGGCTAACTGTGTTCTTCACAGTGTTCTTCAAATTCTCTTCCAAATGCCTCAAGTCAATGGCTTGGCAGAGGGCAACCAAGAAAGTTGATGACATGAGCTTCAATATGTCAACAGCTTCGGCTGTTTTTCTTGCTGAGATTAACCCTAGAGAGTTCACATCTTGGTTATGTTGCTCGGCACTTTGCACATGGTTGGTAACAGGGTTTCCGAGGAATTGAAGCTCGGAACAATACGAAGCCATCGCGATTTCGGCCCCCTTGAAACCGTAGTCCAGACTCGGGTTCCGGCCTCCCGACAAGTTTGAAGGCAACCCGTTGTTGTAGTAATCGTTAACAAGCTCCGAGAATTGAGCAAACATGAGTTTGCCGATCGCAGCAATGGCTAAACGAGTGTTGTCCATCGATACACCGATCGGGGTACCCTGGAAGTTCCCTCCATGTAATGCCTTATCTCTCGAGACATCGATCAATGGATTGTCATTCACAGAGTTGATCTCTCGTTCGATCATTTTGGTCGCAAACCTGATCGTTTCGATCTGAGGACCGAGCCATTGAGGCGATGTTCGAAGAGCGTATCGGTCTTGTTTTGGCTTCTGAAGAGGATCCATTTCATGCAACTTTTGAGCTGCTTTAATGTAAGAGCTACCATCCAAAATGTGTTCCATAATAGCAGCAGCCTCAATTTGTCCCGGATGATGCTTGAGTTTATGTGTCAAATGGTCTGTAAACTCGGGTTTTCCTTGCATAACTTCAGCAAAAACGGCTGACATAACTTCAGAGAGAACAGCCAACACATTAGCCTCATAAAGGACCAAGGACGCTAACCCGGACCCGACCGCGGTTCCGTTAACCAGAGCCAGACCCTCCTTGGGCTGCAACTCGAAGAACCCACCATTGATTCCAGCTTTGGCAAAGGCCTCAGTGGGGTTCAAGGTCTCACCATTAGGTCCCAAAGCTTTAGAGTTTGGCCTGCCGGTCAAAAGGCCAGCTATGTAGGAGAGTGGAACCAGGTCACCTGATGCACTGATTGAGCCCCTCAGTGGCACACATGGTGTGATGTTGACGTTGAGGAGCTTAGTAACGGCTTCCAGGATATCGAATCGGATGCCGGAATAGCCTTGCAACAGAGTGTTGATCCGTACAAGCATGGCAGCCCTCGTCGCGGTGTGGGGCAAAGTGTGGCATGACTCGGTCCCTTGGCCGAAAACTCCAGCATTCAAGAACCTGTTCAAAATTATATTTAGTCACGTAAATGAAAATGATATTAAACATTTAAACATATCCGATAATAATCTATACTAAAATTTAGCAGATAAAAACTATGACATAGTCAAGTTAATAGTATAATTTTTCAACAAGAATTTTACCATTTCTCGACCCGGTGAGAGATTGCCGGCTTTGTTTATCTTTTCTAATGTTTCTTGAATTTTACTTCAACACCAAACAAATGAAAGAAAACAAGATTCGATTTCCTTTTTTTTTTTTTTGTAAAATCCATACAAAATTTTCCCCTACATGAAGAAATAAATGAAGGAAAACGATAAAAAAACAACTCAATATGAAAACTCAAAATTTATCTCGAATTTAATGTCAACCAGAATTAGAGTGAATGCACCATATATTTGATCGATAATATAAAACGTTTTCTTAAATCTATAAAATAAAAAGATAAGTCAACAACCTATAGAATAAATGATTAAAAACTATCCGTTGATACATCTCTTATTTTTTAGATTATGAATTCAATATTCATTAGTAACAAAAATTATCCTTCCCCTTCGTTCTTCCCTAGGTAGAAATTATTAAAAAGATAAATTATAGTGATAATTTAAGTATTAAACTTAGAATTTATCTAAAAAAATATTTATATAATTTTTATTCTTTAATAATTTTAAAATTATTTTTGAAAAAATTTGAAAATTTAAGAAGAAGGTTCGAGCAGGTGACAAAAACAAAGTGTTGTATTTCACATAATTAATTAATGAGGGAGATATATAGCTGAAAATAAATACAACTACCAAACTCGACGGTAAGTGCGTTGTGCTAATTATGGCCAATTTAATGGCTCATTAGCTTTTAGTTACCTAAGTTTATGGAATATCATATCTATACGAAAAAACTTTTTTTACTATGCAATAAAAATAAAGATAAAATCCGTCTGTATCAAATTTTTAATTTTATATATTTTTAAAATAGCTATATAAATATAAATGAATGATTGAGATTAATAAAAAGAAATTGAAAATATTTACAAAAAAAATAAGATAATCTTAACAGTTTAATTTTATATATTAAAAAAATATATAAAATTAAAAAATTTAATATATCTATATTTAATTCATAAAAAATATGAGGAATTAATATATTGAAATTTATATAAAATTTTAATTATAAATATTATTATGACACGTAAAAATAATACTTCTTTTATCAAGCATCTAAACAATCATGTACAAATAATTCAAGATTAAATTTCTTATTACATGTAAACATTTTATTAGTTCAGATAATATAAATAATATAAATTTATATTATTATGACGTAAAAAATAGAAAATCCAAAAGTTACCTTATAAGCTCCTTTTGGAGAGCAGCGCCCTGTTTGGTTCTACGATGAGAGGTTGCACCAAAGCCAGTGGTGACGCCGTAACTGTCCGTACCTCTTTTCATTGCTTCCATCACCCAATCACTGCTCGCCTTGACCGCCGGCCGAGCCTCCTCCGAGAGCTCCACCTGGACGGCGGCGTCGCGGTTGGCAATGGCCTTCACTTGAGCTATCGTTAGCGTTTCGCCACCGAGACGAACCACCGGATTCTTGTACTCCTCCACCATTCGCTTCACTTCATCGAGATGGCTACCTTTCATCGACTGAGCCGACGCGGCCCAGTTCAATGGATCAGCAGCAGCAGCAGGTGTGCAGAAACCATTTCCGCCATTGCAGTTACCCGTAACGATCTCCATTGGTTCCATCGATGAGAAGCTCTACAGGCGGAATTCAATAGCTAATGATTGATAAAACAAAGGTGTTTTTTTCGAAAAGGAAATTTTCCGGGAAAATGAAAATTTTCCTGAGTTCGTTGAACGATAATCCGTAGCTTTAAATAGAGGGAAAATATTATTTTTTTAAAAAAATGAAAATGCTGGGTGGGTTGGCCGATGGGTTAGTTGAGAACATTATGTGGCCGTTGGATCTTCATGGTTTTCCCATCGTTACGATTTTGACACGTGGTTTAATTTAATTGGTGGCCGTTCAATTAAAACTCTAAGCATGAAAATACAAGAATTTTTTTATTGAAAGAGAAATGGGGGTTGGTGAGCACTCGGGGAGACACGAAATCAACGGCGTCATCCTCAATCCTAAGTGTAAAATTACCATTTTGCCTTTATAGGTTGAAAAATATTATTAAAAATATATTTGGCCTGTAAAAAATTATATAAATACACAATATCATAATAGGATTATGATATGAAAAAATAAATATAACATATTAAAAGTGCTATTTTTCTTCAAGATCAGTATAAATCATCTAAATTCTTCTCTAAATGGTTTAATTAGTTTTAATTCAATTAACTTAGTTAATAT